TGATTGATTGATTGATCGATTGATTGATTGATTGATTGAACACTAGCAGTGACTTCAGTGTTTGTGCAGGTGAAGCTTCATTTCCTGTACATGTCGATAATCGTCTCCATTACATCCGAGTCATCGTCACTTCAGTGAAGTTGAGTCAGCAGCGTAAAGCCGGTGGTTAAAGCTGCGATATGAAAACATCTTAGTGACGAAGGAGCTTCTGCTGCCAATCATTTTTATTGTCTATCGTGAATCATTTAAGTGAATGTGATTTAAAAAATCTAATCTGGCTCATTTCAGGAGTTAACGTAGTAAGAAACACGTTACATCCACACTGATATCTTTTGGTTTTAGAAACAATCGAACAAAATAACCAACTTTTTATTTTATTGTTTTTATTTGATTTTAAGTGGCTGGTGGAAAAATGATTTGTTTCAAGAGCAAAATATATTAGTGTGGATGAAGCCTTAGAAAAAAATGTGTGTGTGAAAAATGTCCATCACATTTTCAAAACTCTTGATTTGTTCAAGCATCAGTTTAAAACTTAACGACGTTCAGAGTACAGAAGAAGAAGAAGAGCTGCAGCAAATCCTCTCACGTGAGAAGCTGGAGCCGACAAATGATTCACAGATTAAACAATTTATTAAAAACTGAATTTCTGTCTTTTTATCTTTTAAAACTCAACTTAAGTGTAATTAGGGTGTTTGACGTTACGGACATTAGGATCTTTATCTGTGAGCTGGATCGGTCTGATGACGTCACTCCGTGTGTGTAGCCACGGAGTGACGTCATCAGCGAAGGTGTTGGGATAAGACAGATAACAGAAACAGAACGAGTCCCATCAGAGCTGGAGGGACGCCGACACCCACAATCCTCCGTCCCCCCAGGAGGAGCAGGGCGGCCAGCAGGAGGCGGGCCTCATGTCAGGTGACGGCGTTCAGGGTCTGGCCTCCGTCGCCCGGGGTGAAGAACTGGACTTTGGCCGAGTTGTTCCTGCGCAGGCTCCCGCTGCTTCCTGCGACCTTACGCATGGAGTTGTTGCGTCTCATGGAGTTACGCTTCCTCAGCGAGTTCTGGTGCGACAGTTCGCTCTTCTGCAGAGTTTGAATTAAGATGGACGGCTTCTCGTCCAGTTCTCTGGCGCTGCACAGCGGCGTGGCCACCTTGAAGAACAGAAGAGAGAGTTTGAATGAATCGAACACGAGCACACGTCAGCTGGAGGTCGGGACCGGTGCCACAAACTTAACCTTCCTCACCTTGACTGTGTTGCCAAACTTGGAGTAGTCCACAGAATACACACCCTCCTCCTCTGTTACTATGGGAACGAAGCGGTGACCCCACTGGATCTCCTCGGAGACGTAGGAGGTGCGGGCCTGTGTGGTGATGCCGGTCGTCTCCACCACTCCCTCCAGGATGACGATCACCTCCAGGTCACTGCACTGCAGCTCCATGGCCGACAGGTCGTACAGCGGACTGAGAGAGAGACCACACGTGTTACGTGTCAAACACGTAGAGAACAAAGGGACGTGAGTTTAAATTTGATCCGTGCTGTTGGTTTGTCTCTGTCCAGCAGAGGGACTAACGGAGGAGAGTGTCTCTGTGGACAAACCTCAGCTCATGTGTCTCAGTACCTGTTCCTGTCGATGATGTGACAGATGATGAGCGGAGCGAGGAGGAACAGGCTGTTGCTCGCCACGGCGCTTTCCGTCTGCACGTCGATCTGGTGGATGGGGATCACCTCCCCCTCCGGTGTGGTCGTCTTCCTCACCACCTGCCCAACATCATCATTTCTCATTTCCTGATTTTATATTATTATTATGTTAATATATTTAAAATATTCTGTTTCATTGACATTTTCTGATTGTACTTGAATTTGAATCTGATTTTACTTTCTTTGGATTCTCTT